GACAACATTTGTTGGGCATTGTACCCATTCTTTCCGTACCCATTTCGGGCGTCCAAAACTGCGCACATGCGGGCAGCCAGCGTCTGAGCGACGCAGACAAACGTGGTCGACTGCGCCGACATTCGCGCGCAAGCTGCCCGCGTAAGGTCGCCACGTCGTCTCGCGTGAGACCTCTGTGTCTTTTCGTCGCCCATGTCGTTCCTGGATCACGACGAGGCCCGCTCTGGTTTTGGAATGGGGCTCGCCGTTCCCAGGGCTCTTCCAGCGGTCTTCCTCTTGCGCTCGCCTGGGCGCTGCTGGGCCCCCCGAGAGGAGCCTCGCTCCCTGTGTGGCGCCGGGCTCCTCGCGCGCCCCGCCGCGCGCGCCCAGCCGCGCCCCAGTGCGGCCCTCGCCAATCAGCGCGGGGCCAACTCGTGGCATGCCGCCGCTCGGGGGTTCAGCTGCGTGGCGACGAGATCTGCACATGTGGAAGAACTTCGGTTGAGCACCTCCTGGTGCTCGCGCTGGTGGCCTTTGGCTCTCCTGAGTGTGGAAAGATGGTGTGGTGATGGAGATGGTAATGACCGATGGTCATGATGGAATGCTGGTAGTGATGATTCTTGAGGACGCGGTCATGATGAAGGCGATGATACGTTGGGGGTGTTCCTGTTCCTGCGCGGGGGTGCCCAGAGAAAACAACCCCCCTTAGGATGTGGGGAACACATTCGAAGCGTTATACAGCTGCCGCGTGCACACTGTACACCTCTCACACGCTAGCCATGGAGCTCCAACAGGACTGGTGATCGCTGGTCGTTTTGGAAACTGCACAACTCCCAGGTGGAGTTCAGAACAGTTGTACCAATTCCAACTCTGGCACGCCCGTTTCCCTTCTAGAATAATGTGTTACATTTAAGGTTTGCATGCTATTTCTGGATATCGCTACAACGCTCGACTATCTGAATCCTCTTGCATGCCTGAAGCCCGCCGTCTGTAATTGATACTAGTCAGACTCTCGGCTGGCTGACATGGCTTGGTCGGTTGGAATAGGTATCAGTGGGTTGCGATTGGTAGGTCATGCGGTCCCAGACCCCCCCTTCCCGCTTAAATTTGGATTAGTCCCGCTTGAGTCTGGACCTACTATCCTGGGCCCATTCTTGCCTGATTTGATTCAGTGGCCCCTCGAGGTCTGGATTCGTATCGGTGTCGTCTAAACGACCACCATCCCCATCCCAATGCCCACCATCCCACCACCCCAGCTGGGAATACGCCCCTCGAAACCCGAAGGGAACAGCATGTGTCCCCATCCAGGGGGGTTCAGTAGGCCAGTGGGGCCCCGGCCACAGCGGTGGGGATACAGGGATAGGGACCGGTTGAACGATGCTCATAGAAGCCTCGTTCCTGGGAAGATCTCCTGGAAGCCGAGGTCGCCGCGGCGCGCCCCGTGGGGGAGCGAGGAGGAGCAGGCCTGCTCGGAAGGCGGCGGGGCCCGTCCGGAGCCCCCCCCCCCCCCTGGCCTTCGAGAGGAGCTCCCGGTGCCTACGGGGGAGGCGTATACGGGAGACTGCTCGGAAGGCCAGGGGCCCCTTTCCGAGCCTCCGGGGAGGGCCCGCCCCCTCTGCCCTCCCCCCCCCCCCCCCGGGCTCGCCGACGATCCTGACTAGGGTTAGGTTGGGCGTGTCCCTCTACAGGAGTAAGGTTCAAAGATAGTCAGACAATAGTCTAGTGACGACTTTTTGGCACGTTTTGACTCTCTTTGGGTCTGTTCGGGCTATTCTGGATTTCTCTTCCAAAATCCGCCTGTAGGACGACATGCCCGACCTGAGACTAGGGGGCCCCGTGCGAACCCTGCCCCTCCTGCCCCCCGCGACCTCTGAGGGGGAGGCTGGGAATCCACTTCGATGGCGGGAGCCCTCGAGCGACGTGAGCCCCGCCCCTCCCCCTCAGGAGTCGTGGGGGGCAGGGGCAGGGCTCGCACGTGGCCCCCCTGGCTGACCTCCCGTCTGGCCTTAAGTCGGGCCTGTCCCCCTACAGGGGGATGTTCGACGAATCCAAAAAATACCCAAAAATTAATTAAAAAAAATAGTCCAACAATAGTCTGGGGAGTATTTTTAAAATTTTGTTTGACCTTGTTGGGGCATTTTTCTGGTATTTTCAATGTTTCGTCAAAAATCCCCCTTGTAGGGGGACACGCCCGACTTAAGTCTGGCCGGGCGGGGCTGGCCCCCCGCGGAGGCCCCCCGGCCGGGCCGGCACGGGCCCCCCCGCACGCGGCGGGCCCGTGCCGCCCCGCGCGCTCGCGCCTCGGCGGCCTCGGGCGCCCGGGCGCCCAGGCGCGGAGCGCCCCTCGGAGCGGGCCCCGTCTCGGGCCACGCGGCCCGCAGAGATCTGGGCCTCCTCCTCCTCTTTCTGCCCCTCCTCCTCCTCCTCCTCCTCCTCCTCCTCCTCTTCTTTCCTTCTCCTCCTCCTCCCTCCTCCTCCTCCTCCTCCTCCTCCTCCTCCTCCTCCTCCTCCTCTTCCTTCTCCTCCTCCTCCTCCTCCGGGACGTCCAGGGGCCCCGGTCTGGAAAACACGGGACATCGCATGTCTGGGGTCGGGGGTGTCGGAGGATCGCGCAGCATCGCCGATGCATCGGCGAGGCGGCTGGATATGGCGGCGGCTTTCTCAATGCCGGCGTCGCCGATGCACCGCCGACGTCGCCGATGCTTTGGCGCTGCGGCGCGATCCTCCGACCCCTTATACTCGAACCCCAGCTCGGAGGCCTCCAGGAGAAGGGCCCACGCCAGGGGCAACGCCAGGCGGGGATAGGCCTGGCCAGGGGCAGCGTTTGGGGTGGACAGGCGCAATGTGGGCGGGTCGCTCTCGGATGCGAGGCTCGAAGTCCTCGAGCGTCCTCGGCGGCTGTCCAGCCTCGGGGGGGCCGTTCGTCGGCGGTGCCTCGCCGAGACCGCTCCGCGGGGGGGGCCCCGCGCGGCCCTCTCGGCCGTCGGAGGCCCGAGCCGTGCGGCGCCGCCCGCGGGGGCTTCGCGGCGATGCGCCGCCGATGCCACGGGTCTCGGCCACGCGCAGAGGGGGCGGGGGGGGAGGCGGGAGCCGAGCCTTCTTGGAAGCACCCCCTGCTTCTTAGAGGGTGCGGGCCTCGTCTGAAGGTGTGAGGCCCGCGCCCTCCAAGGAGCACCCTCCTTCTTAGAAGCCCTCCCCCCTCCCCCTGCCCCCTTGTGCGCGCCGCCAAAGGTCGATGGTTCCCCCCGGAGTCTCGGGCGATCGCAAGCGTGGATCGAGAGGGCGTGGCTTGGCGACGGGTCCCCTTTCCGTGGGAAGTCGCGGATCTCCGCCGCCGAGCGAGGCGGCACCGGCCGCATTTTGGGGAGGGCACCTCCCAGGCTCCATGAGTTGTCGACTGCGCGCCAAGTCCAAAGATCGCGAATCCAGGTTTGCGCGCCCCCGAGAGCTGGTCTCACCCCATGGTTCCCCCCCTCTTCACGCCGCGAGCTCCGTGCGAGAAGCTGCGTGCGGGAGCGCGTCGGCCCGGCCCTGCCGCACGGGTCCAGAGCGCGCGGCTTCCTCCGTCCCGGCGTCTCGCCGATGCACCGCCGTGGCGTCGTTGATGCGGCGCGAGCCTCCCCCATCTTTACCAGTTTGAAACATATCCCTATCCCTGTGTTTGGCATCACCTCACCTCGATGCCGATCTGAAGATTCCCTCAGTTTCTGAGGGCACATCCCTAAGATTGTTCTGGCTTTTTGCTCGCCCATCTTGGGGATAGGGATGAGTTCGAGGCTGGTCGCATCTTAGGACGAAGCCAGGACGATGATACAATCGGGGGCAGATAGATCGAGCACCCATGGGACCCAGCGGCTCTGGAGGATGCATCGGGCGCCGCGGCCTTCTCGGAGCGCCCTGGAGCGCTCCGAGGGCGTTCCGGAGCACTCTGCAGCGGATTTGCCTTCGTCTTGGCCCCGCCCGACATCTGCTCCGACGCCGGTTGGGAGGCTTCCATCTGGGGAGGCTCCAAGAAGGGCGGGGATGCCGAGGCCGAGTCGGCTCGGCGCGCTCCCGCTGTCGGAGAGCGGCGGGAGCCCCCGCTTCCAGGCGCGTCTCGCTCACAACGATAGCGCCCCTATCGCTGGCCAGATGCGAGGTGCCCAGCCCCGGGAGCAGGTGCCGTGGCATTCCCGAGACCGTTGGCCCGGCTGGATCAACGTCTGAGGTACCTGCTGATGGAGCGGGGAGTGGGAGCGGGAGGAGGTCGGAGGCTGGTAGTTAGTCGTTGCGCGCAGTGCACGACAGAGGCTTCATACAGTCTGGCCACAGCGCGGATCTCTCCGCTCACGCCTCCACCTCCGCACTTCCCAAAGACCCTGCTGCCCCCTCGCCCTCCTCGCACCTCGTCTCCGATCCCTCCTTCGCGCTTCTCGTGCCCATGCGCCCTCTTCCTCCACCACCTTCCTCAGCACGCCTTCCACTCCCGCCCTCCGCGCCTCTCTCCCTCGCACCCTTCCCTCCCCTCCACCCCACCCATGCCGCCCTCCTGGTCTCCGGCACCCTCAAGAGTCAGCGAAGCCCTCCGAGAAGCGTTTCAAGGCCGCCTCAAGGTTTCCAAAATCATCCGCGGATGTTCTTGGAAGTTTGTTTGGAAACCTCGGGAATCCTGCGAAACTTGCCGAACAGCGTTGAACGCGAACAAACGTCCCCGAACACCTGGAACCCCTCGCCCCCGCCGTCGTCGTCATCGTCCTTACCTGTCGAAGGAGAACCCAGAAGCTCCCCCGCCGCCCCCCGAAACCGTTCTGAAATGCACCTCGTCCAACCATCTTCTCATCGTCGTCTTCGCCTCGTCGCCACCGTGTCGTCATCGCCGCCATCACCGCCGCCGCCTTCGTCGCCGTCGTCCCAGATCTCCGACGTGGATGTTTCAACACGAGTCTTCTGGCTCTCTCGGACCCTTCCCAAGGACCAGGGTTTCATCCTGATTCGGTTTTTATGGTCCCGGGCCTCCGGAACGGGCCCCGGGGGCCCGAATCTCGGGTCGGGCGAAAGGGGGGGATTGGGAAAGGGGGGGTTACGAAATTTGCTGCATGCAGCTGGTTTCGGCCTCACCGAGGGGCCCATTCCTCGATACATAGCCGCCTCCGGCGCCGGGAGGCGCCGGGAAAATCAGCTACGTGAGCTGATTCTCAAACCCCCCCTTTGCTATCCCCCCCTTTCGCCCGACTCGAGAATCGAAGAAGAGCGCCAGCATCGATACAAATTAGCACGTCCCAGGTCTGGGTCGTTGCCGCTGCGCCGCCATCGCCATCGCTGTTGTCGTCCTCGCCGCCCACGGCGTGAGACCGCCGCCGTCCGACCAAGATCCGCGCAAAGTCCGCCCTCCAAACCTCTGCTGTGGTCGGTCCCCCATCCAGTCTTTCGAGCTGCCTCCGGCCTTCTCCTCCTCCTCCTCCTCCTCCTCCTCCTCCTCCTCCTCCTCCTCCTCCTCCTCCTCCTCCTCCTCCTCCTCCTCCTCCTCCTCCCCCCCTCCACCCGTTCGGACAGCACGTGCCCAAGCCGTGGGCGGCGAGGGCTCCCAGAGGCGCTCCAGAGCACCCCACGGGCCTCCGAAGCGAAGACCCCCGCCGCCGCCGCTCGCCGTTGTCCGCGAGCGCCTTCCCACCGCCCCGTGGCAGGCAGGCCGCCGGCGTCGCCGCCGCCGACGTCGTCATCGCCGCCGCCCTCGCCGTCGCGGCCGTTCGTGGGCGAAAGAACAGGTCGTCTCCGCGGCCTGGCGGGCCGAGCTCCTGGGCCCGCCAGGCCGCGGAGAATTACGGATCTGGTCGCCGCTCGTGATCGGCGCACCGCTTTCGCTCCGTATCGTTTCACCGATGCCGATGCCGATCGCGATCCGTATCTTTCGCTCCGTATCGTTCTCACCTGGTCCCGATCTCCATCCCGATGCCCACCATCCCGCCACCCCGGTGGGGGAACATGCCCCTCGAAACCCGCAGGGAACAGCCTGCACCCCTGTCTGGGGGCGTTCATCGGCCAGTGGGGCCTTCCGCACCAGCAAGAACAGGGATCGGAGAAACGATGCTCATCACCACCGTGAGTCGTCGTCGACGTCGCTGCCGCCCTCCGAGGAGGTCGAGATCACCGCCGCGCCCCGCGGCGCTGCGGCGCCCGCCGCCCGCCAGAAGCGCGCCGCATCCGCCGGCGCCGGGGCGGCGGAGGACGCCCGGCGGCCCTGCCCCGGGTCGACTGCACGCATGAGTGACCCTTCGTCGGAGTGACTTTTGGTGCGGGCCCATTTGGGTTAAGTCGGGCACGTCCCTCTACAGGAGGAGTTCAAAACTGGTAAAAGAATAGCCTGGGGACTATGTTTTCAATAGTTTTGACTCTTGTTGACTATTGCTTGACATTTTCAGATTTTTCGTCCGGAATCCGCCTGTAGGAGGACGCGCCCGACCTAACAGACGTGGTGCAGCAGGAGCGTCTTGCTTGCCTGGGCGTGGCCCCCCCTCCCATGGGTTCCGCGCACCCCAGAGGTCACGACTTTCGCCCAACTTGCGCGTAGCCGAAGTCGGGCGTGTCCATCTGCAGGAGGAATTTTCAAGAATATTGAAAAAATAGTCTGGGGACGATTGTCCTATCATTTTGTGGCTACTTTCGACGAGCATGTTTGGAGTAGTTATTTTCTATGTTTCGTCCCCAATGCGCCTGTAGGGGGACATGCCCGACCTAAGTGTAGCCGACGGGGGCGCGCTGGCCCGCGCGGGCCTGCAGCCAGACGTGCTCGAGCGCTTTCGCGGCGCCTCGTTGAGGCTACCCTGCCTCGGGATGCTTGGCGACGGGCGCCCAGGCACAGGCCCTCGTCGCCGCCGCCGCGCGCTGTCCCCCGTACACCTGAGGCGATGCTCAAGAAAACTTAAGTTTTCGGCCAGAGTCTCGATGATTCTTAATGTTTCAATTTGATTCCTAAGATTTCGAAAGGAATTCTGGGTTTTTATTCAAATTCTGAGACTGTTAATTTCTTAACCCATGATTTCTTAAGCATCTCGCAGGGTGTACACTGGCGCCTCCGGCGCCGAGGGGCGCCAGAGAAACCAGCTCTGCGTATGATTAGATTGGGCATGTCTTCCTACAGGAGGATTTTGGAAGAAAAAGAAAAGTATTCAAAACATATTCCAAAATGGTCGAAGATCGTCAACCAATCTTCCCGATCTTTTGTTTTTTTGCTATTTTTGAATATTCCCCCTGTAGAGAGAGACAGGCCCGACTTACCCGTGCATTGGCGCCTCCGGCGCCGAGGGGCGCCAGAGAAACCAGCTCTGCGTAAGAACGTATCAAAGCACACGAAGTCTCGGATGACGATATTTGAAGAAGAACAAATCACATAAACATAAACGTTTGGCCCTCCGTTCGGGTTTTTGTCTGGACCCGCGCTGGGGCCCCCCCAGCGGCGCCTCTGGCGCCGCCCCTGGCGCGCTCCGCGCGCCGGGGAGGGGGGTTCGGCGCGGATCCAAGAAATCCGCGCGGAGCGCCAACAAATTATGTTTATGTGGTTTTACTTCTTCTAGTATGAACGTATCAAAGCACACGAAGTCTCGGATGACGATGTAGAAGAACAGCAAAGATGATAACATGTGTTTTCTCACACTCGCTGCACGGATGACTCGAGGGCCTTGAAACAGGATTGGGCCAAGATGTTCATGGAAGGGAGGGTGGTGAAACAGAGGGTGGTGAAACAGCTATAATCCCTCTTTCTGCCTGCTGCTGTCATGCACTGCTAAGTCGGCCATGCTTGCTATTAGATGTACAGCGTATATCTGACAACAAGAATGTTACAAAGAACATCTCGACCTCGGCCGCGGTCCTTACACCGAAATGGCCAACGTGAATCAATAAGCAAGCATAACTAAGCTCTTCGATTCGACATGACATGAAGCACTGAGCTGCAGCGTGTAATACAAAAATCTTAGAATGCAACAAACTCGACATCGAAACACAATGAAACTCCACCAGTGTGTATTTGTTTGTTGACTCGATTTCCTGACGTAATCATGGGCTCAGTCGTCAATTCGCTCGCTCTGCGAAAACCCTGCGTCTGATACTGGAACCTCCACTGGTCTCCGCTGTACTTGCACGTCGTCATGCCATGTACTCCTACCGTCTTCGCCATGTACACTTTGACTGATGATCCATTGTGGGCATTCGAAACCTCCTGAACCACGGGCTTCTTCTCCATCTTCTTCATCTTCGCCCTCATGGCCGCCAGCTCCGTTTTGTACTGGCTTTCGGCTTCCTTCGCCTTGAGCATGTCGGATGTCACGGGGTAGGTCGGTACCATACCAAGGACCGTAAAGAGCAGAGCAAACCAAAACACAATGCCATAGCCGTCGTCACTGGTCCTCTTACCACCGCACTTAGCGAAGCGGTCGACCTCCTTGTTGCCATGCCAATAGGCCATCGGGATGACGCTCGCCCTGGCATTCGTCCGAGGCAGAAGTGAGGGTACCCACTCTCGATCGGCACCCGGTCATCGCCGAGGTCGTCCAGCGCTTTCCGGAGGTGGGCCCAGAGCTACGCGTATTGGTGGGCCGAGTCCGTGCCGTAGGGTCGACCAGCCTGCCAACCCCTGAACAGTTGTTGTACAGTCGGGGCGCTGCAGAAGGAACCCGTTTCGTTAGGGAGGGGCTCGGTGTTCCTTGATTGTTTCAAAGTTTGCTTCGGGTTTTCCTGAGGTTTTCCATGGGAAATCGAGGTTGAACTTATGGGAGAAAGGGGATTCGTTCCTTATTTAGGGTTCCTTAGGTCAACGCCTCGACTGTAGTCCGTTGCCAACACCATCTCACCATGTGATCTGTGCAAGACGGCTTTCGTAGCCGCGCACATCTCAGGTGATCCAGACGTCTGCCAAGGAAAGGGGGCAGGGCCTGATGCTGCCGCAATCACGTTGCGCGATGCATTCATCCAGAAGGCCCATCCAGCACGTGCTCGCACCTCGCAGTGTGGATACAAGCCGCTGCCACCAATACACACATCTCCCCTTATCAACCCGCTCACCGTACAGCGATGTTAGCGAGTGATATCTTGCGCTTCGGGCGGTGGTGCGTCATGAAGCGGATCATAAAACAAGTTGTTGTACAACATCATCGTGCCCGGATGTTCCTGACCGTACTTGTTCCCGTCCCACATGAACAGTTACCCCTCGTATCCCGTGTCTTTCGTTGATGTGCCAGTCGCATTTGAAGACTTCGTGCAAGTCCGTGCCCTTTTCTACCCCTAGTCCCGCTTGGCTGAATAACCCACCCGCCAGCCACGTACGGATGAGACCAGCGACTTTGTAGTCCTCCTTCGCCCTCTGGGTCGAGATGAGCTTTTTGGCGGGCTCCAGCAACGGTGGGCCAGTGAGCCCTTACATACCTCTGTTCGTCGGTAAAGCTTGCATCAGCTTCCTGCCTGCGGAAATATTCACCAGCTTCCTCACCGTGCCAGGCCCAGTTTCAGATCTAGCCTTGATCCCCTCTCGTTGCACTACAAACACAAACTTTCCGCATTCCAGCGCAACCTCAGTAGAGTCAAGAGAACTGCTCCAGCTCGGCCCTGTACCGTTATCCACGTCTCTGTGTGATTCTGCATATGCATATACGCCAACGCCATCGCATGTGGTCGCACCCAATTTTCCCACGTGGCCTTCAGCGAATACATCACAGGATACTCATCCGCCGTGACCGTGGGATTCGATCCAGGGCAATGCGACAGAAGAAATTCCATGGTCCTGCACCTGCCACGTGCCGTGCCAAATTGAGCATGCCCAGACATGGCCCTCACTGTCCGCAGCTGGTTGTCGTTCATGCCCTGCACCTTGACGGTGCACGCCAGTGATGCAATGCCTACTTTTCTGTACAGTTTTCCCTGCTGTCTGCCGCCTTGAGCAGGCCTCCTGAGTCTGCCCGTGCGTATGACCACTGTTTGTTTTCTGTTTTGTTGGGGTAGGAGCCTCTGCACCTCCTCCCATTCTCCAATCATGTCCCGGTTGTCCAGCCACTCCCCTTCATGAACCGGAAACAGCTCAGATTGGCCTTCACCTGCTTCGCCAGCCTGGGCGTGGTTGTTATCACGTGCCCCTTGTCGGGGCTGTGCTCAAGGCCTAGCTTGGTCAAGCCCTTGCACAAATATCAAACCGCCGCCTTGATGATCAAGAATATCGATTCTGTACCCGTGACCTGCAGATTGCCATCATGCACCACCACAGCAATGGTAAGCGAAGGCCACATGGTGTACTCTTGATCGTACGCACCCCATGTAAGCAAGATCATCACCGTGGTCGCATCGGAACAACCAGCAGTCACTCCTTGATTCGCTCGGACAAACTTGGAGGCGATCGTACCAAACTTGAGGCTCCTCCTGCCAGCACACGCCTTGATCAGCATGGCCAAACCGCGCCTGGGACAACGATTCCTGCAGCCAATCTCCCAGAGTGTAGCATGGCCCATTTTCTCGAAGGCTTTCTGGAGATCAAGCACGACCGCCACAGTTTGCTTCATCATGGCACGTCCAGCTTCAGCAAGTACTGATTGTGTCCACACCGCCCTCTCTTAGCTTCGACCTGCAGACGTACGGTGGTAGTGCTTCACATTCTCCTGCAGCCACTTTCTCGGAACGACTCGTCCGCACGCCGAGGGGGAGCAGGCTGGAGAGGAGGCCTGAGGCGGAGATGGAGCATGCACCGGGCGAGTCTAGGACGAGGATAAATCCGTTCCAGATCTTGCCGGAACGCTCTCATTGCGTTGCGGATCGCTCTGAGAAAGCCGTGGCGCCCGAGACATCCTCCAGAGCCGCCGGATCTCGGAGATTTGTGATTTATCCGTACCCGAGTTTACCCTCGTCCTAGCTTCGTCTTAGAGGAGGAGGCCGAGGACGAGGTCCTTGGCGGGGGGGAGCAGGCCGGCCCAGACGCTGCTTGGCCGAGGGGCGCCCGAGGGTGGGGCGCGCGCGTCCGCCGGCTCTGTGGAGGAGCCCGCGGTCAAGCGGCCGGCGACGGCGTACTCGTTGTGGGCCAAGCGCCGCAGGCGCCGTTCCCAGGTCTGCTCGCGTCGTGGATCGGCGGCGAGCGAGGAGGGGGAAGTGATAAGGAGGAGGCCCTCTCAGAAGGCGGCGGAGCTTCTCAGAAGCCCTCGCGCCTTCTGAGAAGTTTTCTGTGTCATCGGGGAGGGCTTGAAGCACTCAGAAGGCCTGGGGACTTTCGAGCCTTCTGAGAAGGTCTTCTCCTTCTCACTTCCCCCCGGGCTTGCCGCCGAGTGAAGAAAAATAGGACGGGAGGTTTTTCATTGTCTCGGCATTTGGGGGCCCGTACCGTCCTCGGGACCGTCCAAGAAAACGGCTCGGGGTGAAAAATCAGTCCCAGGGAAAGGATCCGGATTCCCGATGACCCCGCATGGAACAAAAGTCAGGGCATCGCATGTCTGGGCTCCGCGGGGCGGCTTCGCCCAAGGCCGCCCCAGGGAGCCGCCTGGGCGACCGAAGAGAGCGGGGTGGCAGCGCGGACGTTCGCGCGTACGGTAGATTCGCGTCGTGTCGACCGACCCGACGGCGTTCAACGTTGAGCGCCGCCAGCGACCCAGAATCGGTCGATGTGGAACGATCTGACAGTTCGGAAGTGGCCGATCGTTCCAGGTTGTGCGAACCCCGCGGTGTCAGTGGTCAGAATTCAGCGCCGAAATCGGCACGACACGAGCCTGCCGCAAGGTTCTTGCGTAAGTCGAAGAAGAACAACGGCATAGGCATACATTGTCGACGATTCGCGCGGATTTCTCGGATCTGCGCTGGACCCCCTCTCTCATTGGTGCACGGAACGCGCAAGGTGCGGCACCAGAGACCCTTGGCAGGGTCTTTGGTGCCGCACCTTGCGAATTCCGTGCACCAGTGAGAGAGGGGTTCCAGCGCAGGTCCAAGAAATCCACGCGGATCGTCGAAAGTTTATGTTTATGTCGTTGTTTGTTCTTCAGTGAGGTCGCGCGCTGGCGCCCTCTTCTCCACGCGGTGTGCCACGCTGGCGGCCCGCGTGTGCTTCGACGTCAGGTCACTCGTGCTTCTCGCGCAAGACCCGTGTGTTGTTTGTCGCTCGTCCTGGGGATCGGGAGCGGGGAGGTTGCGAAATCTGTTGCGTGCGGCAGGCTTCAAGGCCTCTCAGATGGGGTCCGAGTTGATGGGGAGAGAAGATCGCACCGCATCGCCGATGCATCGACGGTGCGGCTCGATGCGGCTCCGCCAAGGGACGCCCCAGAGAGACACACCTGGGGGACCGGGGGAGAGGTGGTTACGAACACTGCTGCATGCAGTTTCGGCCCCGCCGCCGCTCGCTTTCCCCCACGCATTGGCGCCTCCGGCACGACGGGCGCCAGAAAAAACAGCTCTACGTGAGCTGATTCGCCGATATCCCCCTTCGTCCGACCCGAGGAGGGGACTCCTCAAACTCGTGGACCGGCGGCGAGCCGAGGAAGAAAGTGAGAGGGAGCTAGCTGGTCGTCTCACAAGGCGGCGCGACTTCTCAGAAGCCCTCGCGCCTTCTGGGAAGCCGTCCTCGTCTTCGGACAAGTTTTGCAGGACGTCCCAGAAAAAGCTGCTGGGCTTCTGAGAAGCCCCGCCACCGTCTGCGGAGGCCTGCCCCCTCTCGCTCTTCCCCCCCCCCTTGGGCTCACCGCCCAATGGCCGCTCTGTAGGGTGCCACAGGAACCCCAGCAGGGGCGCCACCGCAGGGCCAGGAGCGCCCAGGAGGTTCGAAGGCGGCCCCAGGCCCACCAGGCGGCCCCAGGTCCTCCCGGAGCTCGCCCCCCGCCGAGGGCGACCCAAACAGAGGCGGCGGCGGCGGTCAAGTCGGCGCGGCGGTGACGACGACACTCGGCATCGCTCGGACGTGTGCGTTCTTCCGGCGAGGGCCATCGAGGAGCAGATTGGGTTCTCTCACCACAAAAGACAGGCACGAAGTTGAAAAATGCCCAGGGAAGGAACGTCCGAGCGATGGCGAGGACAGCGACGGCGACGGCAACCGCGGCGGAGGAGGCGGCGGCGGGGTCTCCGCGGTGGGCGTGCTCGGGGGAGCCCCCAATTCGGGCCGCGGCCGGGCGGCTTCGTCTCGGAGGGTGTCCAGGGCGCGTCTGGAGAGGTTCGGGGGTGGGCAAAACCTCAGAGCCCCGAATCATCAGGGGTAACTCGGGTCAGGGCTAACTCGGGTTCGTTTTTCGGGAATCCGAACCCGACTTACCCCGAACCCGAGTTACCCCGGATAATTCGGGCGTCCAGAACCCCACATCATCAGGGGTAACTCGGGTCAGGGCTAACTCGGGTTCCTTTTTCGGGAATCCAAACCCGAGTTACCCCGGATAACTCGGGCGCCCAAGAGCCCCCAACAGTGACACGTCGATGAGTGAATTGTCCGTTTTCGGTTCTCGAGAGGGCGCCGCGGCCGTCATTTTCCAGGCCTGCGCCCGCCAGGTGTGGGCCTCAGGTCGTTGTCACTACACCACGTTTTGCTAAAGGGGGGTCTGTCCATCCCCGAGAGTTCCGTCGACGTTCCACCCGCTCGCGGCCCCAGCAAACTTGGGCGTGAATGAATGGGGGGCGATACGTCGGGGGGCAGCGAGGGTTGCAGAAAAAGGTGCCCTTTAGGGCCCCCGCCCTTTCAGGCCCCAGAGGGGGCCTCCAGGGCCCGCAGAGGGCACCTCTCTCTCCCCCCACATTTGTCGTCCCCCATTTAGCCCAAAAGACCAGACCATGGCAGGACGGGGCCCAGGTTTCGAGCAGGGGATCGACTACATAATCGATGTACCCTAAAGTTGATGCTCTCGTCGACCCCATGGAAAATACATAGAATTCTCGTATCTCTCCGAACATAGTATGTGTTGTTCTAGTTGCCGGGAGATCCGACGAGCAAGTCAATTCTGGGGTAAATGTATTATGTGGTCGATCCCCTACTCGAAGGCTGCGCTGCCCCATCCGCTTCGACACGGGCAGATGCCGCGAATGTATAGAACATCCTTCAGTCAGTACTCCCTGCGGCATCATACAGTCGGGCCGCTGAAGAAGGAACCCGTTTTGTTGGGGAGGGGCTCAGTGTTCTTTACAGTCAACCCGCACAGTAAGGATGGACAATCTTTCCAAGGGTACCCTTGCATCCTTGCCTCATCGGTCCATCCTTGGCCGCGTCCGCTGTCCGCGCCCCGCTCGAGAAGCTTCGAAACGGCCCTCGAAGGCCCGTGCATGCTCATCTTGCATCTTTGCGATACGGGGCGACTGCAACTGTTTCACAGTTTTCCGTGGGTCTTCATTCGGCTCTCTATGGAAAGCCGACATTCCCATTAGTGGAGAAGAAATTTCTTACAGTGCCGTCTTGAATACATGCTCCGCGTGCGGACCATGTATTAAGAATAAAGGGTTGATTAATAAATGCAAGGATGAGTTTATGCATTGATTTATTCCTAAATTAAATATGTACTGAAACTTCCATATATATATATATAGATTAAAGATCCGATGTATTAAAAACTGCCCTGTATGTAAGGCCGCTTCTGACAGCGCCTCGCGTGCAGGAGGCGTGCCCCGCGCCCCCCCGAGCGCGTCACAGCGGCCGTGGAGGCCTCCCCCCCCCCCGGCCTGAAGCCGCGGTGTGCCGCCGCGCCGTGCCGGACCCCGGGGCCGGCCCCGCCCGCGCCGGGCGCCGCGAGGAGGGACAGGAGTTGGGCGCCACTCCACCGGGGGGCGATCTAATTTCAAGCTCAGCCACGCGCAGAGGGGGGCGGTGGGAGGGGGGAGGGCTTCTTAGAAACACCCCTGCTTCTTAGAAGGCGCGGGCCTTGTCTATGGATGTAAGACAGGCGCCTTCTCAGAAGCAGCCTGTTTCTAAGAAGCCCTCGCCCCTCCCCCTACCCCCCTTGGCGCGCCGCCAACAAGCAGTGGCGAAGCGTCCCGGCGTGCCTATAGCCCTACCAAACAATGTTCTAAGAACTTGTCGTGGTTTCCACAAGATGTTTTTAGAACATTTCTGGCTGGGACTGTCTTGTTCTAACACATCGGGCTTACGTTCTAAGAACATTGTTTTTGTTCTTAGAACATTGTTGGGTTCTAAGAACATTTCGTGGTATGACTATAGGAATGCTTGGACGGTCGGTCCCTGCACAGAGTTAGGCGCCACTCAACGGGGGGGCGATCAAATTGGGGGGGGGGATCGGCTCTGGACGCCCGAAATGGGTACGGAAAGAATGGGTACAATGCCGAACAGCAGTTCCTGTTCATTTTGAACAGGACTCGCTGTCCGCGCCGCCGCGGCCTGTGTCCATTCGAGGCAGAAGGCCGCATGCCCATCAGCGGCCTCTGTTGGTTTGGGGCAACATGTGTTGTTGGGCATTGTACCCATTTTTTCCGTACCCATTTCGGGCGTCCAAAGAGTTGGGCGCCACTCATCCGGGGGGCGAACAAATTGGGGGGGGATCGGCGATCGGCGCCACCCCGACATACTTTTACTATACGTGCGCCGCGCCCCCCAGGGGCGACGCGCGCACCGAGAAATCTTGTAGTGCATGCGTCGTGGCGGGCGCTTTCTGGCCACACCGCTCGGGAAGCGATATACTACATGATGGGTATACTGTATGTTCGGGGGGGTGGACGCGCGCCTCCGAGGAGGACATCTAGTATTTGTATGTCCCTGTGCGCCCCAGGGGAAGTCTATGCATTTTTGCACGTAGACGGCGAGGACATCAATTTTGGGGTACACCGATTCTGTGGTCGATCCCCTGCTAGAAACCTGGGCACCGCCCTGCCACGGTCTTTTGGGCGCGAATTCCAAGGAGACGATCCATGTGGGGGAGAGAAGGGTGCCCTTTTTGCCCTCGAGGCCTCTTTGGGGGGCCCTCAAGGGCTCCTCCAGGGACTCTTGAGGGCTCCTCCAGGGTCCCTGCGGCAGCCCTCGCTGACCCCCCCCGCCCTTAGTCGCCCCCCATGGAGTCGCGCCCAAGAGGCGGAGGAGCCGCACCTCCGCTTCTTGTCGCTCACCCTCTCCTCGTGCCGCAGGCCTCCAGTTGCTCCGCCCCTTTCGGGGGGTCCTCGCTGTTCTCGGGAAGAGGAGCGGGGGGAGGAGGGGAGTGAGAGGGGGGAGGCTCTTCAACAGAATCCCTAGTGTGATCAACCCCTCTCCCGGGGGCCTCCTGCGGGGGGGGGGAATGGCAGCAGCGTCAGCGTCAGGAGGAGGACGGCGGGCGCAACAGGGGCGGAGGAGGAGGGGGAGGAGGAAAGAAACAATGGAGGGGAGACCAGTGGGGGGGGGGAATGAAAGGCAATCAGGTGGCCAGTTGGGCACAGAAAACGCAGTTGGATGGGCGCAACCCCTGTGTGGCGCGTTGTGGACGGTCGACCGTTATGCCCAACCCCGGTGGACATTTGTCTCAAAGGTGGACAGGTGCCGGTCTCTCGGACTCAGATCAGGAGGGCGGGTGCAACGGAGGCGGAGGAGGAGAAACACGAGTGAGCATTGATTTTCACAACGACGTCTACAAAACTACAGTCGTGCAAACCATCATGGTGTCCACGAGCGCGAAGGCGAGGTACCTGAGGAGCTTGTAGAGCAGCAACACTGGGTCTTCCCAGCACACCGAGCCCATGACACTTGCCACCCATGCCCCGCGCAATCCACTGCAGTAGCAGCGTGTGGCGCCTGGAATTTGAACAAGTGCATTGTCCGAATTGTAGGCGTCAGAGCGACCGAGCCAGACTGCAAGCCAGGAAACACGAGCATTAGCAGCAACGTTGACCACATGGTCCAGACTACATGCGGTCCCGTGTCAATCGCCATTGTTGTCCGAACTTGCGGAAGCGGCACATGGTGAGCAGCAGGCCTGGCCGCAGCGGGCACAGAAGTGGAGCCGAGGAAGCCAGACGTCACGCTCCGTGCAGGCTGGGAGGCCACTGCAAGCTGTGGGCGCAGCCCGCACGGGGCCTTTTGGAGCACCGAGCCCACGGGCAGCTCCGCACCGAAGCGGGCTCGCTAGCCTCCCGCTGCGGCTCCTTGCTGCATGGGGCACCGAGGGCGGCGGCCCCGCGGCGACGGGCTCCACCGAGGCGACGCCCATTGCATCTTGCCCGCACTCCTCCTCCCGGTCTTCCACTGTCCTGCTTGTGCCTCAATTTGCTCCGTTGCGCCCCATCGTTGCTTTCTACCGCTGCTTGGACCCACGTGGCCGCCGACCCTACACGTCGATCGGAAGAAGTAGGTAAAAACATGAAGTAGGAAGGCGGATAAAGTGGATGGGATTCAGACCATCCCAGAGAACAACAAACACAGCAAAAGCGTATCGAATCTTGAAGTAGGAAGGCGCTTGAAGCAGACTGGGATCTGGGAGTCCGACAATACCCACTTTCAACGACCAGCGTGCAGCAGCTCGTCCCCCCTCCCTCGGAGCCGTGAGCCGCTACGGCCGGATGTTGGACTGCCGCCGCCACGCAGATCACCCGGGCACCCCGTCGCGTCCCGCTGCCTTGGCGAGCTGCCGCGCTTCGGGGCTCCAGATGTCATGGCGCCAACATCGCAGAGCGGATTTCGTTCGGAGAACGATGAATGGGCCCTGAGTGTCCTGGAGAATTTCGTTTTGGATTTCGTGGTGAATTTCGTGCAGGTTCTTTTTGGTCAGGAATGAAGACGGAAAAATCCACGCTAAATTCACAACGTTTTTCACTCGCCGTTTCGGGGTTTTGCGCTGACAGAAATCCACGCACAAATCCGCTGCAGCACGTCTGCAAGGTCGGTGAGGTGACAGATGTTCGGCATATACACCACGCCCACCCCGCCCCAGTCGGCTTCCACCGCCCAGGGCCACCTCTCGCATACAACATCGGGGCTCAAGAGACGGGGTCACTGCAAACGGGGGTCAGCCAGAGTGCCGGATCCTGCAGGATCCTGCAGGGCCAGGGGCACATTGACCCGGGCTTTGGGTGCAGGATCCTGCAGGGTTATGTAGGACCTGCGGAGCCTGACTGACCCGGGTCTGGATGGACCCGGGTCAGTGCATCCACGGCAAAGCCAGGCCCCAGGGAGGGGATTTTGTAGACCGAAGCCGCGACCAGGGCCCTCGCCCACGCCCCAGGGCTATGGGGTGTCGTCTGTAGGGCTTGTTCGGACGGAGCCGCGGCAGCGCGCGGCACATGGGCAAGGCTGTCTTCACCGACGTTGGCGCGCGAGCTGCCAGCGCAGGGTATCGCGCGGGTGCCCTCGTGTCCAGCGTGGCGTGCCTTGCTGGCGGCCCGCGTAAGCCACCGCGTAAGGTCGCTACGCCATCTCGCGAGAGATCCGTTCTCGCTCGGGTGCCCACCCGAGGCCAGGCGAGGTCGTGCTCGCAACCCGGCGAGGCGTGGCAGGCAGGGCCTCCCGTCGGCCAGCGCCGGGCAAAAAGGTAGCAGCCGTCGTCGGGGATCTGACCCCGGTCAATCCAGAACGGGGTCAGTCAGTCCTTGCAGAATCCTGCAAGATCCCGCACCCAAACCCGGGTCAATGCGAAGGATCTTGCAGGATTTTGCGCCCAAGCCCGGGTCAATGCGACCCTGGCCCTGCAGGATCTTGCAAGATCGGGCGCTCTGGCTGACCCCCGTTTGCATTGACCCCCGTCTCTAGGCTCCCGACGTCAAGCTCTTGGACGATCTTCGGGCGATCTTGGGGGCCTCTCGAGCTCCGTCTTTAGGCGGCGAGCGAAGGAGGCGGGGGGAGCTGAGAAGGAGAAGGCCTTCGCGGAAATCGGCGGGACTTCTCAGAAGCCCTCGCGCCTTCTGAGAAGCGTTCCGTGTCTTCCAGGCAGGCCCAGAAATTTTCTCAGAAGGCCCGAGGCCTTCCGAGCCTTCTGAGCAGGCCCGCCCCCTCTCGCTTCCCCCCGGGTCTCGTCGCCGAGTCTTGGACCGTCGAATAGCCGCAGAGAAACAGGTGTCAAAATCTTTCAAAAACCTGCAGAATGCCAGTGACATTGGCCTCTTCGGGCGTTCCTGTAGGCTTGCGGAGCCGTCTTGGAGGACTCATCGGGGGCTCCCTGGGCCATCTTGAGGCCATCTTAGGCCGCCTGTGACCTGGCAGCGCACTCCGCTGTACCAAGCTCCACGGTGCCGGCGACCTTGCCCAACCACCGCGCCTCGAGCTTCCCCGCGTGCTTCTTGGCCTTCCGCAGCTCGACCATGCCACTCGCGCCCACGTGCACGCCAGGGTGGCCCTCGGAGTGGAGGGAGCGATGTAACAAAACCAGGGTCGTCTGCGCCGACATTTGCGCGTAGATTTCCCCGCGTAAGCTCGTCTGCAACGCAGCGTGCCGCGCTGGCGGCCCGCGTAAGCCGCGGCGCAAGGTCGCTACGTCATCTCACGCAAGACCGGTTTTTGATCATCGCTCACACCTGAGGATGTCCAGAGCCTCAGTTCGAACGCCCGCGAGGAGCGAAGTGAAAAAGGTCTTGCAACGCGGTCTCCGACGCCTGCAACTTGCGGTCAGCCTCCTCCAGCTTCACCTGCAGTTCGGCGACCAAACGGTCCGCCGAAGCCCGAGCCCGAGCGCCGTCAGCACCGCTCAGTGGAGCCACTCGATCCCGCGCAATCCTCAACATCCACTGCGGCACCTCCCCCCAAGCACCGGTCCAGGCAGTACGCAGGCAGGCTCGCTCGAGCAAAGCGGATCTCGCCCGCTGGTGGACGGCTTGAGCCGACAGGGCCATGGAGGATTGAAGATGGATGAAGGATCGAGGACGAGAAGGAGGAGGGCGATTATCGAGGATTGTGGAGGAGGATTGAGGCTTGAGGAGAATCGAGGAGTGAGGAGCGAGGGGGCGGAGGAAGCAGAGGAGGAAGAGGAGGGCGAGGAAGAGGGTCCGAGGAGGAACGAGGGGCAGGAGGAGGTGCCGGTGGGCGCCCAGGGCCGGCCTGCTGGAGCTCCAGCCCGAGCTGAGGGGCCGGGCCGCGGACCAGAACCGGCAGCTCGCGGCCGAGTGGAAGGCCCTGCCCGAGGCCGCGCCCGCCCTGGGCCGGGGCGCAC